GGGCGACGGGGGCGGACGCGGGAGGAGAGACCTCCCGCCGCCCTGGGGCCCCATTTGCGTCGTCTCAGAGGCGCGGAGCGGGCCGCAGGGAGGGCGAGAGTGTGTTTGCCGAGTCAGGGCTCTTCGTTCTCCCCTCGCCGGAGCGGTGGTCCTGCGCGCCGGGGGAGCTCTCCCGCCCGCGTCTGACACGGGGGTCGTAGCTCCCTGCCGGCTGCAAGTCCTGTGCTCTTTGCCGTAGCTTTGGCCGCGCTTGTGGTTGGGAATAAGGGTGTGGAAAAGCGGTGCAGAAGGGTCTGTTAGTAGATGTAGGGATGCAGTTTCACATATCTGTCTCTTGAAATCTTAATTTCAAATTACAGAAACATAGAAGTATCTGCGAATGCTGTTTGGAAAGAGCCTTGTATTCCTGCAGAGCTGCAGAAAAATGATATCTGCATCTTGTGTCAGGGTCACGATTTCTCTTATAGGATCTTAAAAAGAATGGACTTCTTTACTATGATTTTCCTGATCGCTGCTCTTATAATAGTATTAACGTTTTGAGTTTTTAATAACGAATCGTGTGATAGATGAAGTAATAAAGTTTGTTAAAACAAATTTAAGATGAACTGTGTATTCTGTGAGGATTTGATCTAATTTGGAAAGCTTAAGGGTTTTTTAAACTTAAAAAGTAAGGGGAAATGTTAGTTAGAAACCATCCAGACTTTCAGAGCACAGCAATAACTTTTGTAGCGAGAAAAGTATTCCTTTTAGGGAGTCGCTTTGATGAAAATGCTCTGCTGAGAGGAGCTGAAATAAATTTCCTTTTTTGAAGAGAGGATTAAACTTCTTTATCAGTGCATACTTTCTTGCAGTTTAGAATGGCATTTGCTCACGAGAAAAAAGAATACTCTTTTCCTGTATTCCTCAGACTGCTGTGTTTCTATCTTAATTTTTGACTGTGAGAGGTGCTTGTCCTCAGTTCTTAAGGAAAACATTCTCTAGTCTTATCTTTGCCTCACATGGGATGACTGCTCTCTGGAAGCTTTCAAATATGTAGAATTAAACTTATGCGTTACTTGTGGGTATATGTCTTATGTGCAGTTTCTTACCTTTTTGATTTGATTTTGATTTTGAATTTGAATGACAGTTTTTTGTTTGTTTGCTTTCTAGAAACACACTGCTTTTGCTACCTTTCCCAGTGAAAATGCAGCTGTGAAGGTTTGTATTGAGTTTGTTATCGAATGTTTTAGCAAAGCACTTTTCTGAATGGCCAGTTGTGCTCTAAAATTTTTTGCACATCATCTGGTACTTGGTGTCAGGATAAAAATGCAGAACAATGTAATGTTACGGTTCTAAAACACTTCTGTGGAGTCACAAGAAAGGTGGGTTGGAAGAGGCTTGTGGAAGTTGTCTGACCCAACTTGTCATTTAGAGCATGGCAATCTTACATGAATTGAAACTGATCAGGGCCTTGTCTAAGGTGCGTGTGCATTTTTGTATAAACTATAAACCAAACATAATGTACATAATCTCCTGCATAATTGTGTATTTCCCATGAAACTCAGACATAGTGGTGTGCATAATTCAAGACTGTCCTGAATGCCCAAATTCGATAAGAAAAAGAAAGCTATCATATTAATGGGGGACATGGATGCCAAAAAGGTAATACTAGTAATGCTTTTTAATTATGAGTCTGGTAAAAAGCCTGTGTCCTGAGTTTCCCTTTTATGCCCTGTGGGGTTTTTTTGGTGCTGCTTTTATTATTTTAGGCCATGCTGTATAGTGCTACTCAGAAAAGTTACAAAGACTATGTGAGGTGAACAATGGTGAATTTAGGTTGCTTTCTGTCAGTTATTAACAGTGTATCAGGATCTGGACTTGCAAAATGCTGGGGCTTCCTTGTGTCACTGCCAGGAAGCTTGACTTCAACATTTTCATATATTACTAGTGGACTTCAGCACGTGTGTAATTCATGAGCAAGAGGTTGGTTACTTGAAATCACAGAGATTTACCAGGCTATGTAATAAATATCATGGTTAATGACCTAAGTCTCTGCAGTGGTTCTAGGTGTGCATCCTTGTCTTTTCCCTTTCCAGGAAAGTGGCTGCTAAAAGCAGGACTGTGAAGGCAGGAATGGTGCAGAACTAGCTGTGTCTGCAGTGGCACTGACTTAGCTTAAAACAGTTGGGACTGCACCCTATGGCTGGTTAACCAACCAAAGAAAAACCAGTTCTACTTTGAAATAATTATTTTTTTTTCCCCCTCTTCCCTTTCTTTCTTTTCTCCATTATAATTATCTGAAGGCTTTGTCAAGACTGCATCAGCTGAAACTTTTAGGTCACACCTTAGTTGTTGAATTTGCAAAGGAGCAAGATAGTGTGCAGGTACTTAGCCAGCCTTCTGTCTCAGAGAAGTGTAAAAGGTATGTGCATAATAATTTAGTTTCTGTGCTTGTGGTGAGGAAAGGGAATTCTATGTTCATGATACTTTCCTAGTACTGTAAGTCACAGGATAAACTGTAACCATTTAGAAGTGTTAACAGGCAGGTTCAGATCTAAAGACTGCTTTCGTCCCATTAATATTTATTCATTCAGTATCATGAAATAATTCCCATCCTTATTCCTGTAGTTATTAATAACTTTAATCAGCAGATGGTCCTGTTTGTTCTCATTTACAGAGCAAGACTCCAGTCTGTGTAAGCTGACCTCTGTGTTGCACAGGTTCCCTGTGTTTAAAAAAAGACTTTTTTACTTTTTTTTTTTTTTGGTCAGAATTGTAATTTTCTTTTGCTGTAAAAACAGTGCATGCAATGCTTTCCTGATGTTTCTTCCTATTCTAATCAAGAGTCAGGCGGAACTGACTGTTACTGCCGTAACTGTATAAGACTATACTGTTACAGCCACTGGCTTCTAAGCTCAAGCTGATTTGCATGTATCTAGCTTGTGGCATGAACAGAACAAACAATACTGTCTAAGTCTCTCTTCAAATAATTAGGTTTATCTGTCTAATATGTAGCTAAGTGATAGAAGCTATGTGATAGTGCTTAATTAAAATAAATTATAGAGGTTTTAAGTTATTTATTTCACACTCTGAATATGAACAAATCAGTAATTTAATACCTTTGATTTTATACAGTCTCTGAACAGAGAGTAACGTGAAATAATTTAAGTTCTTTTTCTATGAGTAGATTTAAGTCAGAAGTGTTTGAATATAGGGCGACTTACTTAAATCTGCATAAATATTTATTTTAGAAGTCTGGCTACTATAATTATCCACATGTATTAATTTTTAAGGACTAATAATGGCTGTAGTAATGCCATTGATAAAATACATTTAAAATACTATAGTAATCTATTTCTTATATTTTTATTAGATGAGATTAAATACATTTCATATATTATGTAAGGCTCTTACATAATACTCTATTTTAATTAAAGCTGAATTAATTTTCAGTTCAGAAGAACCAGTGAAAGAAGAGAAGAAAGAACCAAGCTGTGTTAAAATAGAGAATGGAATTGCACCCAACCATGGGTTAGTGAGGTTTTCTTGCCTTAATTATTTTATTCTGTTACAGTTTATTTTGAAATACATGTTTTGCACTGTTGAATAAGTTTTGTTTCATGGTATGCTACTATTCTGCATGCATAGCTGTAGGCTTTGTCATAAAGACGAAATTTTAGTTCTTCAGGTTTAGAACCCACACAGGTGAGTAGACTGGTGCTTTGAGCCATGAAGTTGTGGATTGGATAATGGCCTTTGAGCACCAAACATAGCTTTCTCAGGAAGAGTTTGAGGACTTGATGGGTTGTCCCAGTGTTAACAGCAGAATACTGTTGACTTTTGTTTTTCCAGAGGATACTTGTTCTTTTTTCCCCACATTTGCCTTTTTGCATACATGGAGAATAAATTTCATTTTGGACTATTATAGCCAGCAGTTTGAACACTGAGTTTATGATGTTTGTACAGCATGCTGTGCTGTGCTGCTGGTTTTGGACACGTTAATTGTTTCTGTGTGCTTTAGACTGTGTGTGTTGGTACTTTAGTTGTGCCCAAGTCCGGTGAGTCTGTCATGCATTAGGGGTCTGCTTCCTGATGTAAAAGACATAATGTAAGTGGCCCAAAGCTGTTCTAGGGGAAATAATAATAATATTTCAGTGATAATGAAAGATATAATGAATCAACTTCTAGTAATCATTAAATGTTATCAGTCATTACATGGCAATGGTGCTAAGATGTCTTGTTTTTCATCTTTTTTTTTCCCAGCCTCACCTTTCCCATCAATTCTTGCCTCAAATATTTGTATCCACCACCTTCAAGTACAATTCTAGCAAATATAGCAAATGCCTTGGCAAGTGTGCCCAAATTTTATGTCCAGGTAAGTAAAAAAAAAAGGAGGGGGCAAAAAAAATTATAAAAATAAAACCATCTCCTTTTTCCTCTCTTAATTATAGACTAAAATAATTTTATCATAGTAAATATTTAGTTAGTTTTTCCATGATATTGTGAACCAATGTTAATTTTTTTACTATGTATTTTTTGAGCAGAAGTAACTTAATTCACTGACACTGAAGACTTAACTGGATATGATCTTCCTAATTAGATGTTACTTGAGTACTTGGAATTTCATTCTGAGAAGATGCTTTACTTTTCTTTGATTAGCCTTTTTAGGGTGTTGCTCATATTTACCGTTAGTGTTGGATCTCAAGTGCAGGCTTTCACAATGTTCTAATAATGGATGTAGTTGTGTCTTTGTGAAAACTATGCTGATTTATATCTGCCAGAAGTTACCAGCTATGATACCTAGCAAGGAGCTATTTTCATTTGTTTATTTAAAGGAAATCTTACTTATCTTACTCTTTTATCGTCATTTCAGGTACTTCATCTTATGAATAAAATGAACCTTCCTCCACCTTTTGGACCAATTACTACTCGTCCTCCTATGGTAATGTTTTTAATATATATTTTAATTACCATAAAGTGGATTCATAATTTATAATGTTAGCAACATGGTAAAAGATCTAAATTCAGACTTCTGAAAGTTGGAGAAATCTCTAGAGGATAGCTAATACTGCTGCATTTCGCTGGGTAAGATGTACATGTTAGTCAGATGTTAGTTACAAAGATGTGTCAAGTTCTGTGATCCATGTGTTTCTTTGGAGTTTGATTAGGTTCAGATTGTTAATGAGACTACACAGTGCTTTTGGATTTAACTTGCTCTGTCTCCAGGGTCTTTTTTGAAAGAGGCAGGGTTGAAGGAAACTGGCAGAGGCTTAGGAGAAGCCATTTATGAAGGGGAAATAGAAATAGCAGCTCTGTGGTCTTAGTTCTCTGTTGCTGTGATAGAGTAGTTTAACTGACTGCCAGTGGAAGATAGAGCAAGTGGGGACTTGTGTTATAGTGATAGCTACAGCATTTGGTTATAGTGAAGTTGTGCTCCACTACTCTTTGTGTTAGCCCTAACGGAACACCTGCTTCTAATAACAGGCAAGTTAGCTGGTAAAGAAAGCTATGAAATTAATATATCAAATGAGTTCACACTGATTTTCTGGGAATAATTAGTTGCCTGATATTGGGCCAGGTTAAGCACTGTGAATTTAATGGTCATGCAAAAAAAGAGTAGTAAAGCAAGAAGCTAGTCCTCAAAATTACCAGAACCATTTCTAAAGGGCACAGAATATTTTTAATGCCAGAAGACATCAGTGCCTTATGAAAGTGGGGCTGGAGATGATTTTGTACATAGAGAATTCCTTGTATGTGGTTTTTGCAGTCTCAATGGAAAAAACTTGATTTCTTTCATGAAATCTTCACTCCTTACAGAAATAGAAATGTAACTTTAGTAGGTGATGGAAGGTTCAGTGTAGAAATTGAGATGGCTTGGGAGCTTAGCCTCCTCCCATATGTTTTGACCATATTCTTCTCAGGAGAGTCCTTAAAGCTGAGTGCAGAGTAAAAATCCAAGGCCATGGTTGCTGGTTTTGGGTTGGTGGTTTTTTTTAAGTCCTGCAATTAAAAGAATGAAAGCATTCACTGTTACGCTTCAGAAAGCAATGCAATTTTTTTTCTTGTGGAAAGTTTTTAATTAGTAGTGTGGTTAGCAAAATAGCATCTAGATCCCTATAAACATACTTAAAAAAAATTCTTCTTGTAATCTTCTAATTTATTGTTTTGACTATTTTTACTATGCAAACAAAACACTTAGTATTTTTTTTATTAAAATGTTTAGTTACTTTTTTAACTTTTCCCCCATAATTAGTACGAAGAGTATATACCAGTGCCTGTACCACCTCCCCCAATCCCACCTCTGCCTCCTGAAGAGCCTCCTTTGCCTGAAGAGGAAGAAGAGCAACTATCTAGTGGAGATGAATCAGAATATGAAAGTGATAATGAGGAGGAAAAGGAGAGGTATGCATTTTACAGTCATTTGGGAGCTTTTGGGTTCTTCTAAAGTGGTAGTTTTACTTCTCTAGCTTCTAGTTCAGCAACTGGTAGAATCTGTTAACGTTCTCAGTACGTAGATAATATTTCAAGATGCTTAATGAAGCTCCAGTGTGAGTTAAAAACAGGAGGACAGTGGTGTTTTGAATCACAGTAAAAGAAGGAAAGTGGCCAAATGGTATGCAAATTATCATTTGTTCCCATGTCCGAAAACCCAGCAGAACAAAAACTCAGAACGGAGAGGGAGTGCAGGTATAAGGAAGCAATAATTAGTTTGTTTTCTGCATTTTTCATTTTTCTGTGTCTCTGCTGAGTAAACTACTCAACCTGAATCATATGTGCACAATGACTTCCAAATGTTCTTTGTACATCAGTGTGTATTGCTGCAAGTAATAGTAATGGAAATTTGTGCATGCTGAGAATTCTCTTGCAGGTTTTGGACTGAGTTACTTCATAGCTGTTTGTTGTTTGGTTTTAATCCTTAATATAAATGAAGAAGCCTTTTTCTTTGTTTGCTATTTAAACTGAATAGCAAATAAGAAAGTGCCCATGCCATATTAAAAAAAGTACATGCATTTGGAAAAAGGCATTGCTATTGAATAGAAACAGTAAAAAAAGGTTCAGCTGGGGCTTCTTAGCATTTCTACAGCATCAGTGTCCTAATCATGTGCATGCCTGGGGAAGGAAGGGGCATCATTGAACTCATTACACTTTTGATCCGTCACTTAAGTGCTTTGTGTTTATTGATTTGTTGTGTGTTATAGTATTAATGTAGTTTTGGTCTTAAAGTAGCTAGATTTATAACCATATTCTGAAAAGTTGTGTTTCAAGGGCTTTAAGGAAGAGGGATGGGTTTTCAAAATATTTTCAAATAAACTGTAAACCACTTTTGTTCATTTTACAATTTTGTTTAAATTAGAATGACCAAGTTGATGGAATTAGCAACCCTTCAGCCTAAAAGACCAATAAACACAAAGAGGCGTGGTGTTAGAAAAAAGCAAAGAATTAAAGACTTATTGAATGTTCCTGTGTGTACTCCCCACAGGTTTGTATTATTTCCTGTATTTAGTTTTCCTACGTGATGTTTTCTGTATCATGTTTGTGTTGTGTTGCTGCTTCACAACAAGCATTCTTCACAGATGTGTAAATTTGGTAGTGGAGTTGGTCTTTCCTTATCTGCATGCTTGGTTTTATTGCCCTAAAGGTCCACATTTTTGTGTAATTTGAACTAATCTGCTCAATGGCATCAATCTGTAAAGTGTGCCCGGTTCAAGCTCTGTGTTTCTCTTGCTATCAAACTAATAAAAATTCACTTCATCAAAAAAATAAAAACAGTTTCATATCACACCCCTGACAGAAGCAATCTGGATTTATTGTTTGGTGTACTTGTTAAAATAAAACTAATTTTTTTTTAAAAAAGGATAATACTTGAAGAATGAAAACTGATTTGGTTTAAAATAACTTCATTTTTTGAAACTGCAGTACTGTGGCACAGTAGACACCAGTGTAATATTTCCATGTTGTGAATGCATTTTTATTGATCGCCTTCCTCCTCCAAGTGATGTGCAGCTTGTTTTTTTAATTTGGTACATTTTTTACATTATCTGAGGGCAGCAGCAAGGCCAGTTATTTTTTGTGTTTAAGTTACTGATGAAGTTTTTCCATAAGTGTCTGTGTATACTGTAATGTGGTATCTTATTCTTGGTTTTGCTCTCACTGGCAGCCATACCTACTGTGTTTGCAGTGTTTTTATCAACTTGAGCTGTATTGGGTGAAATTTATGAAACGGATAACTCATGTACTTGTTTTAAACAGCAGCGTGAAATCTTATCTGGAAGAAATCTTGTATTTGACTATGTGTTCATAATTTTCTGAATCTTTAACATGTTGGTTTTTTAACAGTAATTTACACCCTACACTGTCACCTTCAGATGTCTTTGAGCAGCCACAGCATGTAGGTCATAAAAAAATTGAGTTCCATATTACTACTGACATCCCAGCTGTTCTTCAGATAAACTCGGAAAAAGAAGAAAAAAATGGTGAGAGCTTTCACTTCAAACATATGTAATATTAAATTCATGTGGTTTCAGTGTGCAGAAGGCTGCTGAAATACTAGCTAGCAGGGAATTCTTTTCTTCTTTTGTATTGGAGCTTTCATAAATAGTATATGTTAGGGTTTGTTTAAGAGCACTAACTTGTATCTGATCTTCATTCACTGTTTTTCCCGTGTTAAAGCACAGAACTCTGCTTTTGTACAGTAAAGGATCTAGAGGATTTTAAAGGTCTCTTTCTCTCTTATGTGATCTGTGGGTGTATGATGAATTGCACTCTCTTTTAAATGTTAAGGTGTTTTTAGCAAATGTTACAAATGCATTCTCAGTATTCCACAGTGTAATTGAATATATCGGGCTAATTCCAAATTTTCATTTTCCAGCTCTTAGAGAGCAGCATTCAAGTGATTGTCAACTCCTTCTCTGTGGTGCACTGATAAGCTGCTATAAAAATGTTGGGCAGTAATAGCAGTGAGGTGTGATGGTTTCTTAGAGGGTTACGGTCAGTCTGTGTTTATCAATAATTTACAGCAATATACAGTTTCTTTGAGTGAAAATTAGATAAACTATTGAAATGGATACAGACTTGAACAGCAAGGCCAGTTTTATCTTAACTGGCACGTGCCATGGCTTTTATTTGTAGTACAGTTGATGTTATAGGACCATATAGAGCAGGTGTGTTTGAAAAACCAGGGATTAAGACACATTTCTTTAATGATGCATTCAAATTGCTTTACAAAGTCTACTATATTAAAATGTTACTGAAAGGAGTGTAGTTTTTGTTTGCTGTTGATCCTTTTGTGAATAAACATACAAACCACTTATATAATATGTTCAAATTTCAGACCTTCATGCAGCCACAGAAGAAATCAATAATACAGGCTTTGGAAGGATTTTCCCAGCTCCTAGCTCAAATGATAAAATGGAAACTGAAGAGGAAGATGATGAAATACCATCAGAATTTATTTCTAGAAGGGATCTAGAAAAAAACAGACTTTCTAGAGAAGGTATAGCTGTGAGAATAAATTATCTAATAATAGCACTTTGATTTGTTGCATAAAATAAATAATTATTTTCCTTATTAATTGATCAGCTATTAAATTTAGTTATTTTATACTAAACAAAAATACAAAGTAAATGAGCTAAAACTTTGTCTGGTTTTTTTGTCTTCAAGAAATGGAAAAATTTTCTGTTTTCAAAAACTATGAGCCAGGTGAACCAAATTGTAGGATATATGTGAAGAATTTAGCTAAACAAGTTCAAGAAAAGGTAGGTAAACAAGAAAATTAAGTATTTATCAAAAGGGCTTTTTATCAGCCTTCCTCTTATACCTGCCCTCTGATTTCAGGATCTCAAGTTCATTTTTGGAAGATATGTTGACTTCCAGTCAGAAGTGGAACGAAATATGTAAGTTAATTTGGTAGCTGGGTAAAATGAAGCCTTTTATGTTAATACGGGTGAAAATTATTATTTAATATAAAAACTAGTCATCTTTTTACTTTCTTTTTCTCCTATGCTTCTGCATAAGGAAAAAAGGTGTTTCATCTGAAAATTTTCATTTCAGTACAGAAATAGGATTCTTTTTTGAACAGCATCTGAAGACCCTACTATTTTTGCCCTTGTATTTCTGTTACCAAATTTAGTGTTTATTGGCTGAGTGACACAGAATGAACAGTGTAGCTGATTGTGTGTATCTAATCAATTTGCATATATCACATTAACTACAGTTTGTCATCCTGCGGTCTAATGCCACTTTTTCCTAAATGGTTCCCCCAGGCAAAATGGTCTCAGTGACAAAGTTCCTGCTTGTAGGCTCTGCTTCCATTTCTGCTGTTTCTCTAACTTGAAGCATGAGAATTGTATTTGTAGTGTTAAATACGAAAGTGTGGTTAAACAAGAGTAATTCTCAGTTCTCAATTTTGCCTCTAGGTTTGACATACGTTTGATGAAAGAAGGCCGTATGAAGGGACAGGCTTTCATTGGACTTCCTAATGAAAAAGCAGCTGCTAAAGCTTTAAAAGAAGCAAATGGATATGTCTTATTTGAAAAACCCATGGTGGTTGTATCTTTTTCTTCAGACATGTACATAATATTCTTTGTAGTCAAAGACTACAGCTTTGCTGTCGTAGTGTTCTAGTTATTAGGAATCTATGGAAAGAAAAAATACCTTAAGAAAACCAGGCAGCATAACAGTATACTATTGTTAATTTTATGATAACTGAAAAATATATAGAGGTGCCTCTTCTGAAATAAGAAAGTAAATGTGCTTTAAGACAGTAAAATTGTCTTCTTTGGTCTTGGCTCCTGCAAACGCAATATAAAAGAAAATTTAGCTTACATGACCATTGTATTTAAACTGAGTAGGCTTTTTGACTTAGTTAAGCCTGTGTTTACAGAATCAAGAACAGAAAGAAATGTTTAGGGTCAGTTGTCTCTATTTATATTGCTTCTCCAGCTGGAACTGTCATTTACTCTTTGGGCCTGTGTAACATGTTGGGATTTCTACACTTTCTGATTGCTTTGCCCTATTTTTTGCCTATAAATCCTGTCTTGTTTTTCACGTGAATGTTTGTTTCCCTTTCTTCGTACTCTTGTTCACCCTAACCTCTGTTCCTTTTAGCTTCCTTCTTCCCAAATACCTACAGCGGCATCAAAGTTATGGAATTAACATGTTGGGATGGAGGATTGTAAATTTCAAGCATTTATCCTGCTGTAGTTACTCTCTTTGCACCTAACCCGTTCCTAGTTAGTCATCTGTATTTCCTTAGTATTAGAAACTCTTGGACCAGCTCTCTTAAAATTTTTTTGTACTGCAGATCAGTGAGGTCCTAATCTTTGACTAGCAGACACTACTGTTATATTTAATTAGTAGTAGTAGTAGAATTGATTCACAGATAAAGGCCACTTTTTAAACTGTCTTTTGCTGAAATAAGAATTATTTTTTCTTCTTGACTGGCTTCTGTTTATTGTTGACACTTGTAGTCCTTAACAGAATCTCAGCAATTTGCTCGTTCAGCTAGACCAAAACAGGATGCCAATGAAGGGAAAAGAAAAAAGTAGAACACTGCACAAGGTATGGATCCTCTGCCTAAAAAATAAAGAAATAGGCTGGGATTTTTTAATCGTTTGTGTTGGAGTTTTTTTGGTTTTGTTTTGTTTTTTTTAATTTATATTTTTAATGGCTTCTTTAGGAATAGTGATGGTGTTCTGTACAGTTTTCTTAAATGTGCACTTATATCACAAAACCAGAACGCAAAGTATATAGTTGGTGTAAGTTTAAAATGTTGCTTCTTCCTCTGTTTTAGAAACTCGAAGACTGCCTTTTCCCTAACTCTGATATCTCAGGGTAGTTGTCAGTTTCTCTGATATTTATTCTGAAAAGCTGAGGAGAATAATTCAGTGGAATTGGACTTTTAGTAATGTTCTGGGATTTTGACTTAAAAAAGAGGCAATTCTTTTCACCTTCCCTTCTGTCCCTGCCAGTGTAAAGTGATCCTGAAGAAGTGTTTGCAGCAATAAACTCACTTTTGCTAGCTCTGTAAAGGAGCTTTGGCTTTGCTAACTTTGGGATCTTAGTGTTGTTGCAGCATCCTTTAAACTTGTCTGACTTAGGAAAAGGTATTGTGTCAGAAAGTGCTGCTTAATAGTGCGTAGATGAAGGCTTCCTTTATTGTGGAATGCATAGGTCCTGATTTTTGGCATTGTGTCTAAAATTGATGGGAAAGTAACTTTTAGCAGAAAGTAATCACTATTTAACTTTATTTTCTATCACAGCTTTACTTCACTACTGCTTACTCTAAGTATTTGCTTTATATGAGAGTAACTCAAGCAAAATCAGCTCTAATTTAACCATGAGGGATTTCATGGCCTAAGAACATTTGAGTAGTGAACTGTCTCAAATTCACATGTGAAGTAACTGGTGCAAGAATTAGAAGCACTTGCTTTTCAATCTGCACCCTCTGATAGATCAACTAGCTCAAATTTAAAGGGCATTTAACTTAATTGCAGATTACGGTTGGGCATCACTCTGGATATGCCTCCACTTAAGACCAAATGAACTCAAAAGTTTAGGCTGAATGCTTCTGAAACATTCTACTTAATCTGTGATGTCTTTTTAATCTGGATGTTTTGATCATTGTTATTTTGGAAGTCTGAAATACAGGATGGGAACAACTGGTTTTGATTTTTAAAAATCGGTTGTATACCCTGATGTATGGTTACTGTGAGGGTAGTATTTCTGTTTATAACAGTTACTTCAACTCTAGGTTTCTTGTACTGTCACTTGTCTCAGGATTTTTTCATCAGATTGTATTTGAGCTTTTTTCCCCTTATGTCTGAGAAGTTATTTGGTCTTACCAGTTCCTATTTTGAGTTATTGATCTGTTGTTTGCAAAACCTGTATTCATTTTATCAAATTAAAGATCACTCTTTTTTACAGGCATTCTTCTGTATTGGTCATTGAAAAGAGACAAATGAGCCTTGGCTAAAGTATTGTATTAGGAACAAGGGTTTATGTGAATGTTTCAGTCTTGTTTCTTACTCCTTTCTTGTTAGAAAAAACTGTATTTATATTATTTTATCCAGTCTCTAATAAGAAGGAAATTACTAAGGTTACTTTGAATGCAGAATAAAAACTTGAGATATTTTGGCTATTGGAAAGCCTTATAAATGAAGTCTGAACACTTTTGTTCTTTTAGAAATTCCATGTCTTTCTGACTGATTTTGTACATTAAATCTAATTCTGACTTCATTAACATGCTAAATAATACTTGAATTACATAAAGAAGATAATGAGGTGCTTATTTGGTTAGTAATCATGTTGATGGTCAACCCAGAAGCTGTTTTTTAGAGTGAGCAAACATGTACTTAAGCAAGACTTATTTCTGTACCAGAAAGTCTTACATGTGTTGCCTTGGTGTCGCTGGTTTAATGCACCATGGGCAGAACTTCTTCCTTATCTTGGCCATTTATATGTAGCGATCACAGAATGTGCCATAAACGAGTACAGGTTTCTAGGGATCTTTGAGGTTTAATTAAAAATATTTATTTCACTTCTAAACTACTGATGAAACTGAACCCTATTTCTGCATGACTATATTTTTCTGTTCCTGCTGGGAATATTCGGATGGATGCTGAGTTATGATGCAAAATTCCGTTATAGAAATCTGAGTCTGTAAGGAAAAACAGTGTCAGAATCTTATTTGAAACAAGTATGCACATCAGTAAGTTCCTACAAGTATTTGAGGGACTTAAAATTTGATCTTTATCCTGTGTCTCAGTGTTCTTGGGTTGTTTTTTTTTAAGTTAAACTTGTGATTATTTTTATACAGGAATAAGCTGTGTTAAATTAATGAATGTAACTTCAAATACTTTTATTATTTCTTAGTATTTTCTCTACAAAGGTTTTATTCTTTTTAGAGAAAATAATATATATGGTTTATTGAAATACTATGCACCTCCTTGCTTGCTGAAATGTCTTTTTCGTGAAGGACTGGCAAAAATTTCAGTTAGTATTTGGGGTGACTATTTTTTCTGTAGCTGAAATACAGCTTTTTGGGAGAAAGGGTATGTAGATGAAACTGATGTTGAGAGTTCTCCAGCTTCTTCATAGAGAAGAAGTGACTTGAAAGCTTGCATTATGGGGAAACATGATTGGGTTTTGGACTGATGGAAAAACTGAGTTTATGAAATGGCAAATACTTGAAGGAGAATTAATGAGACAGAAAAATTTGGTGTTGTCCTAATAGTTTAAGTTATCAAAAAATGTTTTTACTTTTGCATACGGAGTTGTAGTGTTGGTGGACTCATCAGCCCTCATTAAATCTCATCCGGGGTCAAAACTGTATGTTATCAAGGAGGCATATTTGCTTTTCATAGGTAGCATAAAGCTATGTGTATGCAATACTGAGAATCAAGTAAAATTAAACCACATTCTGCTGTTCTTCTTTAGAAACATTCCTGCGTAAATACTGCAGTAATACTGTCATGCAGAGTGTATCCTTTCTTGTTGTATCCTTTTTTTGTGCAACGTTTCCCACAGCATTCAACTACATCTACGTTTTTGTATAGTGTAGGTGTGGGGAGGAGTTTACATGTTTTAGAGGTGGAGCTAATCTGGTAATTTTAAAAGCAAAGGGCACTTTTCCAGGGTTAAAAAAAAAATAATGAATTGTCTGTGTTGCGTGAATGAACACAATAGGATCCTAGTCTTAAAAGGTGGCCTCCGCCTTCTTCCTCAGAGGTCACGTCACTTGCTAATTTGTAGTCCCATTCCTTAGGTTGTATGAGCTAGAAGGATGCCACTGGTGTGCGTGGAGCTGTGCTGAGCTCACATGGAGGATGTTACCTGATTTTCCTTTAAATAAATATAATAATAATAATATGTTGGTTAAAATATGTTGCAGAGCAATTCTTAATAATATTAAAGGGTTGGCCAGTATTTTAGATAATTAGATTATTACTTTTGGCCTGGTATATGAGAAACTATTTGTAGTTGACTTAAGTTTGTACACTTCTTACTTTTTCTTTTGTGAGTAGAGAAGAAAATCTAACAATATCGTGCAATGAATATTTGGAATTGAACTATTAATCAGCTGTTAATCACTGCTACCTCTTTGTTGGTTTGTTGTTTTTTTGTTTTGCTTTGTTTTTAGATGCTCTCTGCACTGAGGTAGTGTTGTTGACAGTGATTTATATTTTTCTTGTAGATCTCACATTGTTTAACTTACTGTAACATAAAATTAATACAGTCTATATTAAGTCAGATTTTTTCAGACATTCAACATTTTTCTAAATACTAAGCATCTTTCAATTTAGTTGTCAAAAGAAAGTACGACACTACTATTTTCTGGTTGTTCTTACTTTTAACATGCCTTTGTGATGTTCCAGGTCCCTTTTGTGTTCCATCTCTTTCAAGTATTATCAAGCTGGGGGAAGAAGCAGTGTAATCATCAGGACTCTTGAACTGTGCGTAGTAGCATTTCTAAAGTATTTAAGGCAGAGTATAAATTTTCTCATCTTAAAGATTCCAAATATCTTTAAACTGTCACAAGACTTAAATGATAAATGTATGTTAGTTTGCTTGTGAAATCTCTAATAAATTATTGCCTTTCTCATCATTTTGACTTTTGTTTTGTTGTGGGGTTTGGAGTGGGAAGAAGGAGGAACACACCAATTATATCGAAGTCCAATTGTAACTGTGCAGCATGTTTAGCTGTTAGTGTTCCAAGGTAAAAGAATAAGAAAATCTAGGGATCTAGGGACAATCTTACTGTAAATCTTTTTCTTGTCTTGGAGACTAAGTAGGAAGGCTAGTACTCTGCTATTAACTTCTACTGTGAAATTAGACACTTCTCTGCGGTAATAAACATTCATGTTCATCCACTTTTTGAAAAATATCACTAGTGAGACTTAAGTTAAAACAAGAGTAGCAGTTAAAACAGCATTAAACCAGTGTAGGTGTGGTGCTTGCCCTCTTGAACTATGTTTAATAAAAATCAATGCTGTGGAGGTCACATAGAAAGATTTGTTACACGCTAACAAGACTAGCATAACTTTCTAAAACCGTGTGGGAGACTTTGCAATGACATTTACTTGGCAAGAGAGGCCAGTGGATTTTAGAAGAATATGATTTCATTAAATATTAATTCATTTTGTTTTGTCACCATTCCAGCTGTGAACAGCCTATATCGCTAGTATTGACTGCTGGACCAAAATCAGTGTCTCTTTGCTGTTTTTTCAATATGATCTGGCTTAGCAGATTACTTTAAAATGCTTTTACTGGAATTCTTAACTTATTTGCTGCATCCCATGTGGACTGTGTAGTTGTTTGTTAGTTTCTTATCTGTATTTGGAGGAATAGGCCAGGAAAAATACACCGAGAGAGGAAGTTTTGTAAGAACTTTTGAAGGGTTTGTGATGCTTACAATAGAGAAAGAGGTGGCTTAAAGAAAATCCCACTATGAATAAAGGCAATCTGTGTTCTTGGGGTTATATTATTAAAGAACATAGAAAACATACTCCTCACCATCTTGTACTGATAATGTGTCAAGGAAACTTCTGCAAACCAGTTGAGAGAACTTTAAGTTAAAGGGCAAAGCGTTCATTCCCTTTCATCAACTGGGCTTTTGTATACCCATTTCTGATGTTGTTTTTGGCTTTTTTCTTTGCCTCAGGACACTTGTTCTGTTTGATCTGATACTTCAAGTCAAATGACTGCTATTTTTTAATGAGTCATTAGAGCCAGCTTCCAAGATTGCACACAAGCAGTGAATGTAGGCTTATTTCACAGTTTTTCTTCATTAGCTAATGACACATAGACACAGCAACATTTCTTATTTAATGAAATGTTTGAATACACTCACCACTATAATTTTCAAGGTAAGGCTGACTCAGATAATGTAACAATCATGAGTTTTACTATAGTGGCCTTCTATAAATTGACTCCTTGATATAGCAAATATTTTGTGGCAGCAGAAGCTGAATTGGATTTTTTTTTCCTATATATAAATGTGACTTGAGTGACAGAGTTTTCTTTGCCAAATTCAGAAAGTCATTCTAATATGCTTTTGATTCTAAAGAGGGGGATTTTTAAAAAGCATGCACATTTCTCCAGTACCTTCAGTGCGAGTTTGATATAAAAGGTTCATCTTCAGTTCCAGACTATTTTTTTTCCTCAAAAGCTTTGAATTTTAGGGACTTCACTATTGGTAGTGAATAGAAATTTTAGTTTTGAGAAAGTAAATTCAGAAACGAATGCTTTATAGATAAATTATCCTTAAGACAACAGTAACATGGAAAATTCACTAAGACATTTCATATGTTACATAGTTTGAATCTTTGTTATTCCTTGGTATCTTTGGAAGTTGACAGCTAAGAGAGGACCTAATGTCAAACTGAGAATCACTTTCCTTTTATTATTTTCTAGGACATTTTCAACTGCTTCCAGTTTATTCCTTAAATGTATCTTCCTACTTGATGAAGAGAC